TACCGTGCATAAAGTTAGTAAAATGTCTAAAGTGGATAATTGTTAGAATTTTGACCATGAAGTGAATTTTACATACACCGTGCAAAAATGACTAGAGCTGTTCTTGGCAGTTCGGCTGAACCAGCTCTCGATGAGCAACAGAACAAAGGCGAGTTGTAAATGGGAGGGTCATACACAGCATGTTTAAGTGTAGCAGAGAGGAAGTGGACTTGTGCTCACTACTAACTACTCACTTTAAGCGTACAAGCCAAGCCTCCATTAGATCATCTCAATGGGTAAGTCGTTTTGTTATTTTAAATAAAATTCATCGTCATTGTTAATTGATGCTTTCTAGATTTTGATTTTGCTTTAAAATATTGAGGTTGATCATGGGAATCTGAGTACACTTGTGTACTTCCCACCAAACAGATGAAAAGGAGAAGGAACTCGTTGTAATTCACATCCTCTATCGGGGGATTTCTGCTCAATTGTATATTTAGAGGATGCTGAAGGTAAACTTTCCTTTCCTAAATGAAACCAAAAATTAGGTATATCATCATAAGTGTAGTGCCGGTGTTGTAACTGCCATGACATGCAGCCTTCAGTTACTCTTTATTGTGATGCTCCTCAACAGACATTAGACTGACTAAGTAACTTTTGCTACTACAGTACTGTACATGTCAGCTTATTCTAACTCAAACCCTATACCAGCCTACTAATACTCTACTAACACACTATACTCTAATGAGAGTTAATTGACAAGTAGGTGCAACGGAATATTTCAATGTAGAAATCATTTGTGATAATTTAGTGGTTTTGAAATGTGTACTTTATGTATGGTTAGGTTCATTATCCGCCGTTTGTGGTTTGGGTTAAAGATCGATCGGGTTAAAGATCATTTAGATTGTGTTGTGTCATACATGCAGATATTAACTAGAGTTTGAAATTTGTTTTGCTTTTTGACACTGATGGGTCATTTACAATTAATCCCATTATAACATTTTAATGACAAATTCAATTTGTACCACTGTAGTTGAGGTCAAGAAAACAGTTAAAATGGCCTTGTGACAGCCAATGTCAAAACCAACCACCTGAAAGTTGTTAACCCATAAAGCTAAGTGGTTTCTTAAGTTTGATAATTCATCTGCTATGTCGTGCTTATGACATATTTATGATAGGTTGTGTTGTCTCAGTAATGTCAAGTTGTCATGACAAAGACACTGACAGGTTATGATGTATTGGTTTATGTCAAGTTGTCATAACAAAGACATCTCAAACAATGTCATATTTGCATTAAAAATGTCATAATTGTGTTACTATGTTATGTTTCTATTTGAAAGATTAAATTTAGTATAGTAGTAACTCTATGGTTACACTTTTCAAAATAACTGAGGTACTTTTACTGAGGTAGTTTTAATTCTCTTTAAAGTCTGATGCAAAAAAAAAACATTCTCATCTACACATTTAGATCACAGAGTTTATGTAGTTTGGTGTGTATTAAAGAGGCAACTGTGTTCATGTAATAGTAAGTAAGAAAACACTTTTGTAAATACCTGAAGAGTTCAGATGCAAAAGCCTCTAAGTGCCATTTGAAATTTTCTTCTAGAATGATAATTTTTATCAAGCTTGTATATTTAAGTTCAGTGATTTCACTTAAATGGCAATGAAAATTACATATTAATTGTTATTTAAGTGAAATTACTGAACTTAAATATACAAGTTTGGTAAAAATCATCATTAAAGAAGAAAGTTTCAAATGGCATTTAGAGGCTTTTGCATCTGAACTCTTCACCTGTATTTCAGGAAGCTGACCATATTTGAATAAATGCTGGTGTTCAAAATGTAAATGTACACTTTTTTCTTTTACATTGTGTTGTTCATGCCTGTGAAAGTTGCCGCCACGATGTAAGGGGTTGCTTGGGCATTTGTCGTCTGTTCTGGGTAATTTCCAGATGGCTAATGGGTCAAAGAGTTTCTGACCCAAGATTTGATTCAATACTTGACTCAGGATTGTATTGCCCATGTTTATTGCCCAAATAAAAGGACACAATTGAAGGATCATTCATGTAGCAGAAACCTCAAAGTTTACACATCAATGTTTAGTTTCACTTTATTTTGACAGTTTCTTTAACACATTCGGTTGACTAATGTGGCTCTTACATGTCTACTTACTCTCATTAGAGTTTTAGTAGAGTATTAGTTGACTAGTAGGGTAAGTTGACATAATTATAGTCAGTATAATGCCTGTTGAGTATGGGGTTAGAATTGTGGCATTTTTCCAAATAAATAGATTAATCTTCACAAATAAATGTAAAGAGGTTCACAAAAATGTATCAAATTCACAGTCTGAGGAAAATTTGAGGAAAATAAAGTTTATGGTAACATTCATCTGCATTGACTCAAATAGGAAGTGTATGCATAATGCCCATACAATTGCTACAGCAAAATATGTTTAAAATTTGAATATATCAAGCCAAGCCACAATTTTTATGAGCCTTGGAAAAAGCCAGAGAAACAGGGCGTTACATCTCTGTTACGTGAATGACGTGTACTGTATATGGAAGCGTCACATTATTCAAGATAGAAAAGAACATCATCAGTATTTAGCTGGCTGATGAATAACCTGGTTCAACGTCGTGATAAATATATGAGTTTGTGTAACATGTGAAATTACTGTCAGACAACAGCCAACAGCTTTTCACTTCTTCAGTCAACGAGTTTTAATGTTGCATATGATCTGCTCCGTGGATCTAACAATCTATAAAGCTTTATACCCAGACACCAACAGATCCGGCCCACATCTCATTTCACACAGCCCGAATGTGGGCCGGATCTGAGCCGACACTATGTTGCTGTCTGGGTAAATAGTATTTTAAATAATTCCTGTTTTACGATTCCCTTTGTTTGTAGAGAATTAATAGGTGGGTTAATTCTAAACGTGTGACAGGTTGTTGCATTCTAAAAGATACTGTATCATGCATTTAAAAGTGAAATATGCCAGGCAGACAAGCGATATGCATTTGTTGATTGGTTAAAACACTTCATTACACAAATAATACTTCATATGAATCAGACTTAATAGTTTTTTATGGTAATAGTAACTAATACAGCATCTAAAGTAGGCTAAATAGGGATTTTTATTTGCAGCATCCAACCCTACCCACTGTCAGAAAAAAAGGTACGAAAGCTGTCACTGGGGCGGTACCTTTTCAAAAAGGTACCACCCCAGTGACAGCTTTCGTACCTTTACGCTGATCTTGATGCTTGTACTGTTACATTGCGGGTGGCCATTTGGGCTCATATTTGGTAGCCCTACATGACATTTATGTATGTCCTATAGCTATTTATCACTGTGATTGTGCTTTAAAAGGCAAAATCATATGTTCTGTAATTTATTACATCGCGTCTACCCCATGCGAGCGAGGCTGTCTACACTGGGCAAAGCAAATGTGCTAATCATATCCTCATAATTCTAATTGTGCGTAGTAGCCGCTACTTCAGAAGAAGAACGGGCATCCAATTACTATCAATGAATCATCGTGTCACGCTCCGATATTCTGCGATACATATGCGATACTGTATCCAGTGTAGACAGTATCACGAAATATGAATGTTCCAGTAGCCAGCACTAGTCAATATAAGTATGATTATGTCGCACCACCTCTTGCCGGCGTAGAGAGGGTGTTACTGATCATGATGATCGGGATCTGTGATGATCATAATTCCTTGAGTTTATCCTGATGGAAATATAAAGAGGCCTTAAACTCCAGAGTTTTTTAGCCACACAAATTGTTTTAAAGGGATACTCGACTTTTTTTTGGAAATAGGCTCATTTTACCACTCCCCCGGAGTTAAACAGTTGGGTTTTATCGTTTTCGAATGTATTCAGCCGTTTTTTTGATATTTAGAAGAATATCAGGAACCAGACAGTTTCAGTTCTCATTGACTTCCATAGTATATTTTTTCCTACTATGGAAGTCAATGAGACAAGAAACTGTCTGGTTACTGATATTCTTCTAAATATCAGAAAATCGGCTGAATGGATTTGAAAACGGTAAAACTCAACTGTTTAACTCTGGGGGAGTGGTAAAATGAGCCTATTTCTATAAAAAAAAAAGTGGAGTATCCCTTTAACCACACAAACAGTTCAGCTCAATTTGAATTAAGCGCCCAAAGATTATTACTGCTCCTTTCATGTGGCCGTTATCTGATTGGCTTGAGGAAACGGGGGTGGAGTCCACTTATTTGGAGATTTGTCTAGACGTCAACACTAAGTGTTTTAAAATCCACAGATGCGTGAGGGGATTTGCAAATGCACAAGAAGCAGTTCACAAATAAATGCCAGGCAGAGCTGTGTTTTACAACAAAACTGTGTTTTTTTTTTTTGTGAAACTCCTTACATTTATTTGTGGATCTTAATCTATTTATTTATGAATTTGATAAACATTTTGTGAATCTCTTAACATTTATTTGTGAATATTAATTTATTTATTTGGAATAATGCAACAATTCTAACCCCATAGTAGAGGAGCTTCACAAATAGTTATCAGATATTAAGCAGACAGTCCACTAATACTCAAATGAGAGTTAGTCGACGCCATGTCGTTGGAAAGTTACTAATAGTCAACTGAATGTTCAAAAGGGGTCATCAGAATAGAGTGTTATAGTTTAGTAATTAGGATTAGGGAATGGTTCAATAGTGATAGTACCTACACTCAACCTTGATGAAACTATTAAGTTTCACACAAAATGATCTGTTTTCAGGCTTTAGTTGTTGTCTAGGTGATTTAGATATAAATCAACCTAGTGTCCAAGAATTGAGCTTTGAGACATTTCTAGAAATCAACAAAAGCTGTTGCAAGTTTGTCAGAGCCGCCGTCTTGACGACGTAATTTCATGTTAAAAGAGGTGGAAAGTCCCTGCCGGTGAATTCAAGTCCTAAGAACTTTGGCCAATCAGTTTGTCCATACAGCAACCAAAAGGAAGTGACTTTGTGACACAGAAAAAGCACACACCAATGTGGGCCCTGAGAGGAAATGACTTGCACTGTGCATGAGTCTGCGATCACTGCTCGCCTCTGCTCTATCGGTCCTGAACTCTCAACTAACTCATTCAACTTCCGACCATACGCTGAACATCAACCTGTAAAACATGGTGACAAAAACAAGCCTGTACGAATGGCACTTTCGATGAAAAAAAAACATACCTTCAGCCATTTACAACAGTCAAATGCGAAGATGTGCATCCAGGACTTCTGTAACAAGTAAGTATGCGGGTTTCTTCACTTCTGTCCATTTGGACAGAACAACATTGATGTACGAAACAACAACATTGATGTACGAAAGAGTGTTTTGTTGTCAATTGTTTGAAAAGTGAAAGTAATTCCCACAAGTTTGAGGGTTACTACAATAGTGAGCTTGTGCTATGGTCGACCATGTGTGTTAAAGTAAATGGGAGTCATTGAATTATTGTCGTTTTTAAGATAATTGAGAAGGTGCGTGGTTTGTGGTGCTAGAGAGTACAGTTCTACCTATATAATTGTTCACATATAATCTGTATTTTAACTCCAGTCATGTGGCTCTGGTAAAATTCAGGTTGCAGATTTAATGTAAAGTTAAACAAATTTCAAATGTACTATATGTGTTTTTCATTCATAATGATTGCAGGGAAAACCCCTGCCGTACTCAAGGCCACAATATGGATGTTACATATACACGTTTACCACTAAACTCCTACCCCATGTTAATGGTGTTCTTATGACCTTTTTTAGACAGGATACACTTTGCATTTCTACACGTTATAATGTGGGGGCACATCCAGCAGACTATGAAATGTTGTTCTGACTAACATCTGTGGGCAGATGTTTGAAAAAAACGTAACACTCTAGAACAATGGTCCGTCATTAATGAGAAACTATGCAGTTCCACATTAACACTTCAGCTACTGTACTATTAACTAATATAAAAACGAGCTGAAACAATCAGTAAATAATAGGAAATTTAGAAAGAGTAGTTACTGAATTAGATTGGCATGATTAATAGCTTAACTAACTGACAAATTCTAAAGAATATTATGTGAGTCTGAGACGTTATAATTTTTACTCTGAATATAGTCATAAAGTGCATCACTATTTACTCAAGTGTTGCCTAGTCCCTATGCAGGAACTACTATAGTGATCTGGACCACTATTTTAAAGTAAAAATGATGTTTTTGGAATAACATGGAACTATCTTAGTCACAAATTCTGGGTAACGCTTCCTTTTACAGTCGTGTTACCCATGTACTTACTATGTATTATAATTACTGCTTAATAACTAGGTACTAACCCTGAACCTACCCCTAACCCATGTACTTACCTTATATTAGCCAGTACTTTCTAGGTAAGTACACTGTAAGTACATGTAAGTACTGTACTGATTAATTAAGCTTGTTTCCAAAATAATAGTTAATAGTAGAAGCTGAAGTGTTAATGTAGTACCGCATAGTTACTTATTAATGACGGATCATTATTCTAAAATGTTGCCAAAACTTAATGTGCCGTTGATGGAGGCGTGTTACGTGTGTGCATCATGTTCTCTTTTATTGAAAACAGGACACCAGCTGTATTTTAGGTGAAGTGCAGGAAATGAAGGATGTACGTGCAGAGCAAAAATAATAACTGAAACTGATGCCACAGATTCTTTTCTCATCCTTAGTTTGTAACATAAATAATCATAATAAGGAAATGGTCCTCTATGTGAGAAAACCATGAGTAGCTTGTGATAAATCAATTCAAAATGAATGCTTTAATATTAGTTTACTTAAAGCGAGTGTAAGTGTATTCTTCATGTATAATCTGTAGCAACAGAAATTCCATTTTGTCCAAGAAACGCCTGTTTAGGTGCAGTCACATTTATCGCTGTTTGGTGAAATCCCGCCATTTTATTCGAAATATACAGCCCGTTCTCATCCTTTAACGTCATATAGAACGCTATATGCAAAAAACGGCGCTATACTACGCACATGGCACCCTTTATCGTTAATATAACACGCGAACCCAAGACTTTAGCGTGAATATGACACGCAGACCCTACCCCACACCTAAACTTAGCCCTCACAGCGCGTGTTATATTAACGATAACGGGTGCCATGTGCGTAGTATAGCGCCGTTTTTGCATATAGCGTTCTATATGACGTTAAAGGATGAGAACGCGTTGCAATATATGCTATCGGGATTTTAATGTGAGGACAAAAGATTTTGCGATGCAGATTTCACAACAGATTAAGCTGTTCATAGAAATTTGTGGCACTGACCAACAAAGTGATTTCTGTGTTTCTCTGTTTTTCCATTTTCCCCACAAAATTTCGCTAATGTGAGAAGAGACTGTCTGATTGGCATGTTCAGTGACCAATGAGAGTTTGTTTAGTTTGATGTGTCATCTAGGGTGGGTAAAATGATAGACCAGCGTGGAAAAAATGATCAAGCTGTCCGTGAACAGCTGTGCAGAAAACACCAGCAAGAGTTTGCGGACGAGTACCAATTATCTCATAAACACAGAATATACAGACATCTGGTGTACTAATTGTACTACTTCTGACATTTCATTCCACTAATCTGGCAAATCCTGATTCTCATCCTCAGAAGCGCTCATCTGACTTTCATGGTTAACCAATATGTGATCTAGTTTTAACAGGTGTTTTAATGTGCTTTTAGCTGTGCTAATAACTTTTAAACTCTTGTTCTAGTTTTCACACAGGGCTTTCACTCTGAATAAAGTCTAAACCAGATTAGACAACCTGATAATGATGGTTATCACAACTTTGCTTGAGTGACAAACTTTCATCACTTTCAGTGTCAAAAGTGAACATGTTTGTTAGCTGTTTGGCTGTTGCTAGCTGTTGTTTGGAGCATGTTTGCTAGCTGTTGGCTTCAGTAACTCTAATGAAGTGGATGGGTGACATCTTGGATTTAGTATGAAATCAAATTGACTTTCATTTGTCACTTATATTAGTCAAAATTGTATGGTTGCTAGATAAGACATGTTATCCAGTCAGTAAAGGGGCTTTCAGCAGTCAGTTTAGCTTGTTTTGGTCGCGTCGGGTGGTTTTTTGCCGCATAGTCGTGCATTAAAAGGGTTCAGTCGTGGATTGTATCTTACATATTCACCCACACTTTAAGAGCAGGTTAAGTTCTGGTCACTGACTCCTGTGAATGGAAACATTGTTTAAATGTCACAAGCTGAAAACAATATCATGTGGAAACTCTGACACACCACTGAGGCATGCATATTATATTGCTTTCAGAGGAAATTGATACTTCTCACTTCACAGATAATGCTGTAAATAATGCTATCCCAAAGCGGAAAAAAAAACTTTTATTTATAATCTTTCATCAAAATGTAATAAAATGAAACAACTTAACTTTTCCTCTGACATCATCGTAACAACGTGGGCGTGGAAAATAGACAAATGGGACACAATTTTAATTCCTTTTATTACATTTTTACTTCTTCAATTCCCACATAGATAGTCTTTTTTTCTGACTGATTTAGTTATTTTAGAGAGGGTTTTTTTTTTTTTTTATCTTCCCCATTCAAATCATTGCGGCCTCTTCTCTTCAATCATGTGGCTCCATTCTGGCATAAAAGCCTGCTTTTCATGATCCAATCAATTCCCGATGGATAATCAAGATCTGTGCTACATTCTTACCCTCTGAAATTCACATCAAATGCCAAATGCACTTTTAAACTATGTATGACCTCCTATCACTGCTGAGCAGTGCATGAGGTCACAGCAGGATCAGGGAATTGTGTAAATAAGGCTGAAATCTTGTCCACCCTGCTATTTTTTTGCAGTTCCTAGAGCCTGACATTTTTTTTTTAGTGGACATTTAAGATTGATATTTCATAGCTTAGAGTAGCGTTTCTCAACGGGGGCGTTTGGACAGTGTTGGGCGGTGTGAACGAGACAGCAGAGAGGGGGGCGCTCAGGCACAAATGGGGGCGTTATGTCTGACTGTAGCACTATATAGCCTACTCCTACTCACTGTTGTCACACCTTTTTTAAGCCTCTAACAACACATACAATGTTCATTTGAATGCATGGGCGTTTTAGCTACAGCATTGATTTCCACGCTGCTGCTCAAATCCATTCCACCTTCATTCGGAGTCTCACCAGGCCAGACGATTACGGGTTAAAAAAGAAAATTGAATGGATGCAAAAGTGCAAGGACCTTATTATTAAAATATTTCAAATAATGCATTTGTAGAAAAAGTGTATGTTTGCGTCCATTCGTTTTTCCCTTTTTAACCCGTAATTGAAAAACGAAAAATTAATGGTTGTTTTATTTTTTAAATCCAATTTTGAATACCAAAATTTGAATTTGAACTGTACTCTACACAATGGTGCGCAATTTTTTTTTAACGTATTTTCATATTTTTGTTTATGACTTTTTGTCCCTTTATTAAACATTTAAAATATATAACTAATATGGAAACCATTTTTAAGGCCAAATTAGAATTTAGAACCTGGAAATTATATATTTTTTCCCCGCAGTGCTGAATGAGAAGAGCCTCTGGAACCATAGCTGATTTATAGATGTTTTATTTGTTAATGATAATAAATGTGTCTTTACATTGACCCATTTTAATTGTTTATTAATAAACTTGTTTATAAATCAGTGTCGCTGTCGGCTGAAAACAAATCTACCTCTCCGCTGTAAAGCGGATGCGCCTTTAGAGAGAAATGCACCTTTCATATATTTGCTTTTTGCATTTTTTGTTTGTTTAAAAGCGGACATTTCGAGCTTTATATAGGTAGGCTATATTTTGTCTCAGTTCATTTTTGAGATGCGCTCCAGTTCACGGAGATCATCAAAGTGCGCCTGATAGTTTTATTTTATTTTACAAAAGCACAACGTTTTCTTGTTATTGTGAGTTTAAATAAAAGTAGTTGCAAATTATGTATTTTTTTTTTTTTTGTATGACCAGAAATGATGTAGTATTTTCATTTGCTTCGACTGTTGATAGGAAAATGCAAGTGATCGCGCCCGCGCCTCCGTGCTATGCAGCAAGCGTGCCACACTCCGCACAAACCCTTGATATGCGTAAACATCTTGTGTTTATTAGTGATAATCTGAGCCCTGTATTATTGTTGTCTAACTTGACTTGTGACTGACTTTTGAAGAATTGCTTTTTTCTTTTTTTTTTTTTTTTTTTCTTTTTTTGGATAAAAGCATCTTCTACATTGCTTAAATGTAATAATAATATATTACATTTAAAGTTTTGTTGAAAAATGATAATAAATAATTTTTTCGAAACCATATAAAACCAAACATAAATACAAAGATTGCTATAAAGTGTAAAATATTTATTTTTTTTTAATTTTTTTGGTGTAGCACAAACACTGCAGGATCAGTAATGCGTTGGCTCAAGAGGATGTTCAAACAGTAATAGAGAGGCTGGCTTATGAAACACCACAAAAAAAAAACCACACACACTCTCATTGCAATTTGTAAACATTTTACGTTTCGCTGATTTGGTGGATAATTTGTATGTTTTTGCAACACAGTCTCATGAAGATGCGCATCTATACCACGAGTGTAATTTCTCGTGGCATTTATACGCCAAAAGTGTTTTTTCGTGTATATGGTACGCACTAAAAAACCCTGGGTTAGGTTTAGGGGGGAGGGGGGTGGGGAGTTCGTGCGTATTATACGCAAAAAAGTGCGTATCATATGTACGCGAAAATCGTGTGCCAAATACACGCAAAAACTGTTTTTGCCGTATAAATGCCACGAGAAATGACATTCGTGCCATAGACACACGAACTTTCATGAGATCGGGCTGGTTTTTGCACAATCTTCTTAAACACAGTGACGTTTAGTTCTTTCAATTTCCTTGAAGGGAAGTTTGTAAGAAGGTCAAGAGCACTTTGCTGACAGTGGCACTCTAAACTTCTACTTAACTCCTAAAAATAGGATCCTCTTGCCACAAGCTCGCTCCTGAACTATAATTCTTTGGTTGGATATTATAATGTCATGATGAGATCCACTACGCTACCATTAGACTTCTCATTTAGGTCAAAATTGTCCCATGGGATTCTAATCTCGCCACTCCACCGAGTGTTAGATGGACTTTCCTCGATTCCCATCTATATCTGCTGACTGGCACTCAGACGTCCTGCACCGGATAGGCAAATTCCTCTGTGCGCTCGACAGCCAAGGGGGGGGCTCAAACTTTCCAAAGGAAACGTAGAGTTTCCTGTCCTTTCAGTGTCCCGTCTAGATTCAAAGTTTTTGCTGGAGGTTTGGGAGTTTTGTGGTGGAGACGAGTACGTCTTCAAGCTCTCTGTCTCTTCTGGCGATATGTTCAGCGAGAGTCCAGCGGTGCAGAGCATCAGAAGATGCGTCAGCAGAAGGTATGCGTCGATTGTGGAGTCAGGGAACAGATTGGGGATCATGGGACAGTGTGGGTGTTTGAAGAAGTTTGTTTGGAGTTGGGTTCTTGAAGAACAATTATGTGGAGTTTGTGATTATGTGTAGACATATTCCATTAGAATTCTCTTGATATCACTAATGGTATTTGGACATTGTGGATCTATAGCAGGAATTTTGTTAGGGCTTCTGTGATAGATCTCTTTGGACGGCTGTTGTGTTTTTTCATTGTTTATTATTATCAACTGTCTCGTCTTCATGTTTTGACTGGGTTTGCTCAATGTGTTTATAAAGCTTGTCCTTTTGATTTGTTATGTCTGTAATTTTTTTATGTCTGGTACTTCAGTATTAGTTGTTCAGATTCGAAGGTTTTTGTTTATTGTTTAGTTTTGCAAAAAAAAAAAAAAACTTTTTGGCTCCAAGGCCCCCCACAATATTTGAAAGGCCCCATAACTTTTCCAGTTGTTCATGATTTCCTAAATGTAAGAATAAAGATTATTAAAAATGCTTTCACTCACAATTTTTACCCAATTAAATATTTTAGGGCTTGGCAGAGATTTGATAAAATTACATGATTTTTTCAGGAAATAACACTTTCAAAATTAGGCTCAAAATATCATTTAAAATTAGGCTCAAATATATTTAGGTTTAGCACTTTGTTTCAAATAACATTATCTATTTTTATCAATACAGACATAAGAAAAACATCTGATCTGTTATTTTCAAAATTAGCACTTAATTGTATAGAATGTGGCATTGATCATGTATTTTTATAGGCCAAACACGTAATTTCGGATCCCCCTGGTTCCCTCGCAAAAAAACAACAACAAAAAAACAATAGTAAATCTTCCATTGGCTATTGTTTTATTGAAGAAAATAAGCTCTATGACCAAAATAGGTTTATAATGCTTACATATTTTGTTCATCATTGACTTCAAGTTCGCCATCATTAAGCTTCTGACAGCTCTTTCAGTCTTTATTTAAAAACATTTGGTAACACTTTATTTTAAGGTTGCATAGTAATAACTGTAAATTATGCATAATTACAACTAACTAAACCCTAAACCAAACCCCATATAAGTACATGCAATTAATGAATATTACTCAGTCCTTATTTGACTAACAATGTTACTATGTCACCTTGAAATAAAGTGTAACCAAACATTTTCCCTTAAGGTTTGAGTTTGAAGAGTTTGCAAAAACACGGTTATAAACACAATGACATGAGTACTGAGTAATGAGTTGTTAGCAACCGCATTTTGTAGAATAAAACGTGAAAATATCTCTGTGTTCACCCCAGACCTCATTTCAGGCATTTAACCAAAAGCCCATTCAAAAATCCCATTGACTTCAGGACAATGGAACCGGAAAGAGCTAAAATCTGAACTCGCTTCCGGATTTTTGCCTGTTAAAAACCCATCATCCCTCCCTATTAAAGGTACAGTACAGAATTCTGGTCTCTGTATTGCTATCTGTGTTAGAAATATAACATTACTTGCGGAGGAACATTGTTTGGGTGTATTACATGGGCTTCAGACGTACACTGGTGAATCTAATGGTTTGAGGTTAACCCACGGCTGCCTATCAACACCATGTCAAAATTAATATGACGAACAACACCAAGATCACTGATAATAAGATCTACCAGATGTTTATCTGGAAATATGTAATCTGAGGAAGTAAGCATATCTGAGGCCATTGTAGTCAGGCCTTCTTTTAGTTATTTGTAGGTTTACTGCATTGAAGTAGGGCAAGAACACAGATTTTTTGCCTCATCAATTTTTTCGAATGAGAAATAACCTTTATGTACAAATACCCAACAGTACAGAGAGATCTTCAGAATAGGCCTACTAACTTGAAAAGTGGAGTTCAGTAATGTAGGTTATAAACCTTCAAATTTAAAGGTTTTAATATTTGTGCCGCATGAAGAGAGATTTGATTTTGAAAGTTATATTTGCGCTGAATAGTGTTTTATACAGATAATATCGTGTTGAATTGCTGCACGGTTGTGATTTGGCCCTAGGCCTGGGGCCGCAGGTGTCTGGGTGGATGTTGTTAGGTGGTTACGAGAGTGTTCTTGGTGGTTGTGCAGATGTTTTCACCCCCCAGCAGTGGCTGATCGTGAAATAAGTTATTGTCGAGAACGAGTCTTAACAACATGGCCTTTTCTTGCTTACAGAAACATGGCTGCTACAGCGGTCTCCTGGCCCGTTCCCATGAGGGCTATCGGAGCTCAGAATCTGCTCACCATGCCGGGAGGAGTCACCTGGTCTGGGTATCTGCACAAGAAAGGAGGGAGCCAGTTCAGCCTGATGAAATGTGAGTTTTGCAGCTCGCTGGAATCCACCAGCCAATAGACTAAACATCGAACATACATTAACATCTGTTCGAGGAAAGGAAACTCGCCCTCATGTTGTTCCAAACCTGTATGACGTTCTTTCGTCTGTCGAACCCAAAAGAGTTTTTTTTTTGTTTTTTTTTTTTTGGAAATGTATATTTTCCAAATGAAAGTAAATGTTTGTTTGGACCCCATTCACTCAGCATTCACATTCTCCAGAAGCTCTTCTTTCCTGTTCTGTGCAAGAAATGGAAAGACATTATGGTTAATAAATAATGACAACATTTTCATTTAGGGGTAAAGTTTTAGGAAATACCATGCTGAAAAGTAGGACTTACTCATAGGACCGTTCTACACAGCTTTATAGATACATGTTCAATATTTAGGCTAATGTTATGGGTAATACAATGTTTACCTCAGGAATTTAATGGTGGTTTGATCCATGCAGGAATAAAGTAGGTTGACAATGCTTTTTGTTAGAGGGTGAACTTTTTTGAGGGGCTACTAGAGTAGATTCACATGATTTAATGTTCAAAGAACGCGCTATCTTTCTCAGGAAGACCATCTAGGAAGACCATCATTTCTATATTCCAGGATGACAATGTCAAGATTCATCAGGCTCAAGTTGTGTAAGAATGGTTGGAAGGAAGCACGAATAATCATATTTACACATAAATTCATTCACACCTTAAATTCATGGAAAGTCTTTGGGATGTGCTGGAGGAGACTTTATAGAGTGCTGGACTCTTGCATTGTCAATACAAGATCTCAACCGAACATTGATGCACCTCTTGATGGAAATAACATCACAACATTAATGATTCTTCATGCTCCAGCCAAACCATTCTTACACAAGTTGAGCCTGATGAATTTTGACATTGTCATCCTGGAATATGGCCAGGATGTGTCTTTCTACATGGTTGTTTATGAAATGAAATACACTCTCCATTTATTATGGTTAGAAGAACTATTGCCAAACATATAACATGCCAGAAACATAACAATCACTGCAATAATGATCCAGTCATAGACTCTTAAGCATTTGCCAATTTAAATCCAAACAGCGCCTTTTTCTTCTTATCTTTTTTTGGCCGGACAGTCTATAAACTCTCTTGCTTTTCATTTATGTGCTGAAGAGAAACATATTGATTGTCTGCCAATTCCACAGGGCCGCTCCGCTTCATTATAATCCACAAAGGCTGCGTCTACTATTTCAAGAGCAGTACTTCTGCCACACCGCAAGGAGCTTTCTCCCTCAATGGCTACAACAGGTTGGTGATTCTGCTTGTTTCCATTGGTTATTTCTACCCGTTCACATCGGTTTCCCTTATAGCACTGCATTTGCTCATATGAAGTTTCAGAGAAAGTGAGAAAGTTTCAGAAGCCCACCTCTCTGTGCTAAGTATCGCAATCTGTAAGTTAAGTTAACCAGTGGCCATCTCGACAAGATCGCAGGCCACATCCTGTCCACAGCTGTGCATTCTTCACGCAGACTCTTTTAGGTGCAACAGTTTCGATTCTGCATCGAATTGGCCTAAGTATGTGTTTCCTGTGCAAGTCAACGCAGCGCTCACGTGTATGTTAACGCACATGTTCTGTTTAATACCATATGTTCCGTGATGTTAATGTTACGGAAGGGGTGTCGATTTCTGCAGAAGTTCCTCCTATAAGGAACTTGACTGTGCCATATGGTGAACATGTAATTATTGCGTGGCTGTGCTTGGGTAAAAATAGCTCTCTGAATTAATAGCAGAGCACAGGGAGTGTTCGCGGATGAGCAAGACCGTCCTAGAAGGACACTTTATTTTACAGAATGTGCATTTTCAATGAATTTACAGTGTACTGAGTTAAAGGGATACTCCACTTTATTTGGAAATAGGCTCATTTTACAATTCCCCCACAGTTAAACAGTTGAGTTTTATCGTTTTTGAATCCATTCAGCCGATTTTCTGATATTTAGAAGAATATCAGTAACCAGACAGTTTCTGGTCTCATTGACTTCCATATATACTATGGAAGTCAATGAGACCAGGAACTGTCTGGTTACTGATATTCTTCTAAATATCAGAAAATCGGCTGAATACATTCGAAAACGGTAAAAGCCAACTGTTTAACTCTGGGGGAGTGGTAAAATGAGCCTATTTCCAAAAAAAAGTGGAGTATCCCTTTAAATGAGGAGTTTAATTGATAATGAGTTCATAGTATGTACATGCGGAACAGGATTGTAAAACTATAACAATATGGACTACTTTAAAAATACTATTCTTAAATGTGAACTGAATGTAATGTTTTCACACTTAACTGCATGTTCATTGCAATTATGGACCCTTTAGCCATGTATCTGACACTGAGGATACAGTAAAACGATATAATCGTGATTTAAAGCACCACTAATAATCAACAATCAAAAGGTTAAAATAAGTTTTGTGTAGTTATAGTTTTTTTATGACAGTTTGCGTACATGGAAACGTAAAACAAAAGTTTTAGTTTTTATTTTGTTTTTGAAAGAAGTCACTTCTGCTCATCAGGACTGCATCATTCATTTGATCAAAATACAGTAAAAACAGAAATATTGTCACAATTTAAAATAACTGGTTCCTATGTGAATATTATGTTAAAATGTAATTTATTCCTCTGATGAAAATGGTAGTTTCAGCATCATTACTGCAGTCTTCAGTGTCACATGATTTGATGCTCAAGAAAAAAATTATTATTATTTAACAATGTTTAAATCAGTTGTGCTTCTGCTTGATGTGTCTGTGGAAAGTGTGACATGTATCATATCAGGATTCTTTGATTGACATAAAGTCAAAAAAACTATTGAATTATTGGTCCCACTTTACATTAATGGCTTTAAGTACCATATACTTACTGTACATTGAAATGTATAATTTGAGACAATGGACTTATTGTGTACATACATGTTTTTACATTGTACTCATATTTTAAAAATACCAGCATGTAATTACATCTGTAATTAATATGTGTAATTACATCTGTAATTACCCATCCCTTACGCTTAAACCCACCCTTAAACCTACCCATACCACCACACCTGTCCCTAACCTCACCCGTATCACACCTCAATAGCAGCAAAAGTGATTTACAATACAACATGAGCACAATAAGTACTTATTTTTAAATGTCAGTACATAGTACTTAAAGCCACTTAATATAAAGTGAGACCAACAAAGGTCACACTTTTGAACAGTACTGTACATTTAAGTTAAAAACAAAAAGGATTTCTTCGTATCAATCAGCATCAGTTTATCTCCCAAACACTTTCTGCTGTCTGTGCTTGACAGGGTTCTGCGGGCAGCAGAGGAGACGACATCTAGCAATGTTTTCCCCTTCAAGATCGTCCACTTCAGTAAGAGACACCGGACGTGGTATTTCTCAGCCGCGAGTGAGGATGAGAGAAGGGTGAGATCACATCAGACTGCACTGCGCAACCATGGATGTGTGTTGGTTTCTTTGATCAGTTCAAATGAAACTTAAATGTGTATTTTTCCATTCTGACAGACATGGATGAAGAACTTGAGAAAAGAAATCAACTTTTATAATGATAAAAGAGACATGCCGCTTCCAAGGTAAAAACTGGCATCAGCTCACATTAACCGAACACCGTTGATTAGCTCGGTCACATTTCACACATTATGCTTACACAACATGATTTTTACCCCCTCATTTGTACCTTTCGTTTTCTTGGAGGGGGGATTTCACAAGAACCTCTTCCTCTTTCTTTCAATCACTGCATGTGTAATTCTTCATCTACGTGTTCTGTCACTTTTCTCACGAATCTCTTGTGTGTTTTAATAGCGATGACTCGGATTCTGAGAGCATATATGGGCAGTTAGAGGAACCGCTGGAGATCAGTCCTGTTGAATATGACTTTGAAGCAGGTATGAGTGACACGCAAAGATTCAAAATCGCAATGCTTTTATACTGACCTATTTAAGAAAAAAATTTGGATTTAAATGGGCAAATGCTTAAGAGTCTATGACTGGATCATTATTGCAGTGACTGTTATGTTTCTAGCATGTTATGTTTGGCAACAGTTCTTCTAAACATAATAGATGGAGTGTGTAGCTTTTCATTTCCTAAACAACCATAGGAAGACACATCATTTCTATATTCCGGGATGACAATGTCAAGATTCATCAGGCTCAAGTTGTGTGAGAATGGTTTGGAGAAAGCATTAAGAGTCGTATTTACACATGAATTCATTCATGTGTGTGTGTGTGAAGTTTTAGCACAAAATACCCAACTGCTGTTTTTATATAGCGTGTTGAAGTTGTCACTTTTTGAGGGTTTGCAAAAACGCACCGTTTCGTGTCTGTCCCTTTAAATGCAAATGAGCTGCTGCAGAGGGCGGGGTTTCAAGAACTTCCTCACACAGACACACTAAAATGACAGAAACTCGTCTCCCTTTAATGTTAAAATTGAGTCAATCAAAGATGGAGAGACTCAAGAAGAAGTGACAACAGGTAGAATCCAACAGGACGTCTCTGAATAGTTAGTTAGTTGATGAATTTATGTTGCCGATGTGGAGTTAACTATCTTCAGTTAGGTATATTCTGTCATGTAATCTATAAATCACTCATATAGGAACTGTTGTGAGATGCACACAGAGTGACTTTCTATTGCATGTGAAAAGATGGATTCTAAAGTTTGAGCTGACTCACAAATGTACTCTTATAACCACTCTTATGTTCCCAGGGGCGGGGTTTAAGTACATTTTAGGGTTGGTGATGTCACTAACCCGGGAGGAATGTCGTGTAGTCCCTACCAAATATCTTCCTTTGCTTTGAACTTTGAGCGTTGTAACTTTGATAATGTTGTTTATGCTCAAAAAGCAACATTACACTCTAACTAAAGTTAGAAAAGTGAAATCATACTTTACCACCCCTTTAATCTCCATCAGTCATACTCCCGCCCAACCATTGTTTCATAATCTGAGTCTGATGAATCTTGGCATTGTCATCCTGGAATATAGCCATGATGAGTCTTCCTCTTCCTACATGGTTGTATTTATCTTGTGATGACACTTTATATTGTTAAACTTTACATGTTGTTACTATAGTAATTACTGTTTATTGTGATTAATTACATGCAACTACCCCTAAATCGCACCCTAATCCTAGCCTTACCCTATAGTAAACATGTAGTTACTTATTATTACTTAGTACTCATGTTTCGAATGATTTGATTGATTGATTGAATGATCTGTAAATGACCAAACCGAAATAAATGAAATGAAAATGAAAAATACTTAAAAGTATGATTATACTGTAACACTGACACCTTAAATTGAAGCATAACCAATGTTTAAATAAAATTATTAATTATCACTTTTAGTAGTGGCATTTCATAGTTTCATTTCACTTAACCATATACACACAAAAAATGTACTATATAAAATGTAATATTAAAAAATGTACAGTTGAAAGTTAAAGTTGAAGTTGAGTTCAAATTTTAAATTACATTTTTAACCCAACATTTGGGTTTGTCCTTATTTTACCCAATTTTGGGTTAAAACATCCCAGCATTGTTTAGAGTGTAACATGCACTTTACAATAAGGTCTCATTCGTTCACGTGAATTAACTAAATTAACACAAATGTACTATGAACAATTACCTTAAAGGGTTCTGTCAGGCTCAGACCTTTTTTTCAATATTTACGTCATTAGACATTTTTACAAAGAAAAAGGATGTCTATTACCATTAGGTAATGCACTGTGAACTAACCATGCATGAACAAACAACGAAGACCTATATTTTATTCATTAAATTACATTAACAAAGATCAACAAATGTTTAAAAAGTATTTCTATAAATCTGTATAAATGTATTTTTTTTTCATTATATAAAATTGTATATGATATACATTCAATTAAAACATATTAAACAATGTATTTAATAATGTATTAACAAATCAAATTTTTACCCAATATTTGTAGTCGGTAATTAAATAAAATTGCATAAAAATAAATTACATTTTAAAATTGTATTTTATTTCATTTCGTTTAAAACTAGCATTGCATTCTCATATATGATGTGGTTTCTAATCTTCTTTTTCATATGTTTGTCATTCCACGTGAATGATTTGGCAAACAAATAATTTTTTAAAGGAGCATTAAACCTTTTTATTTATTGCATTACATATTAAAAACAAATGTTTAAAATTTTAGATTCAACAACTTAAAATCATTTTAATTTTGAAATAAAAAAAAAACATTACAGAAGAGGTATATTCAAATTCAATTGAATGGAATTGAATTTATTTATTATTATTTATTTATTTAATTTATTTATTTATAGATTACATGACACAAGATGAAGACAGTGATGGAGAGGACTGGTCCCCGACATCAGCAGGTACGTGATTCTTTTTTCAGCGATTCCACTGTGGTTGCATTCAGATCGACTGAAGAGATCTACCTTAGACAAAACCCACTGAGTGGACTAACCGTTTGATGTTTTATTTCCAGGTCGACCCACGGTCCCACCCCCACCGTACCCACCACCCCCTGTTCCCTTTCAGCCGTCCAGAGAAACCAATCACACGAAAGGACCTCCACCTCCACTGCCCCCTCCATTCAAAAAGCCTGTGTATTCAGCCAAAGGTCCTCCTCCACCCCTTCCGTACGCCCCGCATCTAGAGAAACCAGACTCGCACCTGTCTACCAAATGCCCCATTGGTCCCATTCCCCCTCTACCCCCACCAAACAGCATGAAGACCATGACAGGCCCGTTCTCAACAATGCCCGTTTGCGAGAGGAAGCCGAACACATTTCTCACTGGGAATAATCCAGCTACTTTACCCATCATCGAGAACTTGCAGAAGGTGATTCTGAACAGTGGAAGTAAAGCACAGCACCTGACAGTGAAGAGCACCCCCCAACCCCGTCCCGTCTCGCCTCAACTGTCCTCTGCTCTTAACAGGAGCATGGGACAGATACCCAAACCTCCCTTACCAACCAAACCCAAGCCCAGCAGACCCTCCGTCCAGTAAGTGTCTCACGCTCACCGCACAGATGTTGCGCACTGACTCTCACGACTAAAATACACTTATAAAACAAGATCCACAACCGCATTTTGTAACTTCGTTTTTATAACCACATGTGTGAGAGTTAAAACCACATAAGATGTGAGAGCACGAAAGCAGCAAGAGCGACACAAAATCGGCAACACTTTACAATTTGGTCTCATTTGTTAAGATTAAATAATGCATTAACTAACATGAAACAATAAGCGACATATTTTTACAATTATGTTATAAAAATGTTCATGTTAGTTCACACATTAACCTTTAACAGGTAAACGTGGGTAACACTTACTTCGGGGTGTGGATGAGACTAACATGACACCTTCATAACCATGACATGACGTGTGTTATGAATATGAAGGAAGTTTGTGACAACCGTCATTAAGTGTCATTCACTCAGTTATGACATTTTTAATGTAAAAATGACATTGTTTGAGATGTCTTTGTTATGACAACTTGACATAAACCAATACATCATAACCTGTCAGTGTCTTTGTCACGACAACTTGACATTACTGAGACAACACAACCTGTAATAAACATGACATTGCAGATTAATTATCAAACTTAAGAAACCATCTAGCTTTATTGGTTAACATTAACATTAAACTGTCAGGTGGTTGGTTTTGACATTGGCTGTCATGAGGTAGCTTATTATAACTTTTTAATGACAAATTCATTTTGTACCACTTGTAGTTGAGGTCACGAGAACAATATTCATGACAAAGTTATAATGGCCTCATGACAGCCAATGTCAAAGCCAACCACATGACAGTTTGACTTAATTTTATGTCAAGTTGTCATGACAAAGTTAGGTTATGATGTTATGGTTTATGTCAAGATGAAAGACATCTTAAACAATGTCATATTTGCATTCAAAATGTCATTATTGAGCGAAAAACACTTACTGACAGTTGTTATATATATATATATATATATATATATATATATATATGTGTGTGTGTGTGTGTGTAAACAGTGAGGAAAATAAGTATTTGAACACCCTGCTATTTTGCAAGTTGTTCCACTTAGAAATCATGGAGGAGTCTGAAATTGTCATCGTAGGTGCATGTCCACTGTGAGAGACATAATCTTTAAAAAAAAATCAGAAATCACAATATATGATTTTTTAACTATTTATTTGTATGATACAGCTGCAAATAAGTATTTAAAACACCTGTCTATCAGCTAGAATTCTGACCCTCAAAGACCTGTTAGTCTGCCTTTAAGATGTCCACCTCCACTCCATTTATTATCCTAAATTATGCTGCGTTCAAGTCATCTCGTATAGATGGTAATTACGAGTTGAACGCACTTGAACGCCACCACAATGTCGTAAATACCAGTGGGGAGCTCGGGATTTTCTTTAAGCCCCGATCTGTACGAGTTGGGGGCGTGTCAGTGAGAAACGTTCATTCAACGTCTGTTGACGGTAAATTTTGATTGAATTTCAATGTTTACTCATTGACATTGTAAGGCTTTTTCATTTATAAAGCAAGCTCTCTGCACAAAATATGATATCATTGTAATAAATATTATACCTAATGATAGAGTTTACATTGGCTTCATAAGCTAATAAAAAAACATTAAAAGAAAAACACTTTTTATTAGCAGAGTTAACAAACCTTGCTGTATTTTCGTGTAATTCATTAAAAGTAGGTACACTGCCATTTTGCTCCGACGAAACTAACTTGAACGCACCTCACGTCGTAAACACGACTTCCCACCTCGTACGTACGAACTCCCCAGGAGGACTTGAACGCAGCATTACATGCACCTATTTGAGGTCGTTAGCTGCATAAAGACAGCTGTCCACCCCATACAATCAGTAAGAATCATACAACTAACATGGCCAAGACCAAAGAGCTGTCCAAAGACACTAGTGACAAAATTGTACTCCTCCACAAAAGGGCTACTTGGAAATTGCCAAGCAGCTTGGTGAAAAAAGGTCCACTGTTGGAGCAATCATTAGAAAATGGAAGAAGCTAAACATGAATGTCAATCTCCCTTGGACTAGGGCTCCATGTCCTCGTGGGGTCTCAATGATCCCAAGAAAGGTGAGAAATCAGCCCAGAACTACACGGGAGGAGCTGGCCAATGACCTGAAAAGAGCTGGGACCCCCGTTTCCAAGGTTACTGTTGGTAATACACTAAGACGTCATGGTTTAAAATCATGCATGTCAGGGAAGGTTCCCCTGCTTAAACCAGCACATGTCAAGGCCCGTCTTAAGTTTGACAATGACCATTTGGATGATCCAGAGAAGTCATGGGAGAAAGTCATGTGGTCAGATGAGAAATTTTTGGTCATAATTCCACTAACCGTGTTTGGAGGAAGAAGAATGATGAGTACCATCCCACGAACACCATGTGAAGCATGGGGGTGGTAGCATCATACTTTGGGATGTTTTTATGCACATGGGACAGGGTGACTGCACTGTATTAAGGAGAGGCTGACCGGGGCCATGTATTGCAAGATTTTGGGGAACAACCTCCTTCCCTCAGTTAGAGCATTGAAGATGGGTCGAGGCTGGGTCTTCCAACATGACAATGACCCGAAGCACACAGCCAGGATCACAAAGGAGTGGCTCTGTAAGAAGCATATCAAGGCCAGTCTCCACACAAACCCAATAGAGAATCTTTGGAGGGAGCTCAAACTCCATGTTTCTCAATGACAGCCCATAAACCTGACTGATCCAGAGAAGATCTGTGTGGAGGAGTGGGCCAAAATCCCTCCTGCAGTGTGTGCAAACCTGGTGAAAAACTACAGCAAGTGTTTGACCTCTGTAATTGCAAACAAAGGCTACTGTATCAATATTAACATTGACTTTCTCAGGTGTCCAAATACTTATTTGCAGCTGTATCATACAAATAAATAGTTTATTTATTAAAATGATACATTGTGATTTCTGGATTTTTATTATTATTATGTCTCTCACAGTGGGCAATGCACCTACGATGACAATTTCAGACCCCTTCATGATTTCAAAGTGGGAGAACTTGCAAAATAGCAGGGTGTTCAAATACTTATTTTCCTCATATAATCTAAGAACTTTCACGTCTGGTAATATTTAGACTTACAGAGTTTATTTAGACTTACAGAGTTTATTTAGACTTACAGAGTTTATTTAATTGTCTGTGCCTTTCTTCTCAGAAGAGCATCACCGGATGGACAAAGTTTTCGTTCTTCTATTGAAGAGAATCCTTTAAAAAAACGAGTGCCGAGCAGAATCAGCGAAGACTCGGACGATGATGACTATGAAAATGTAAATTTACCTCAACTGATAATGTGGACACATTATTTGTCATTAGAAATAATAAATGATGTGGACACACATTATTAGAAATCCATTCTGTTTTTGATAAAATGCATTTTTAGTAAAAGACAATGTGATGAAAAAGTGTTAATGGTGCAGGCTGGAGTCTGGAAGTCTCTGCATGTGTTTGTACATCTTGGTTCTTTGAGCTAATTCTTATTGATATGCGGTTTCTGCTTCAAAGTTTCATCATTTTTAGGAGTGATGTCCAGCATCTCTAAAGCGTTCCTTTGTCTGTCTATCAATCTGTCTGTCTGTCTATCTATATGTATGTATGTCTATACTTATGTCTGTCTGTCTGTCTGTATGTATATCTATCTATATGTGTCTGCCAACGCATCTGTCTGTCTGTGTATATCTATCTATATGTGTGTCTGTCGGTCTATGTCTGTCTGTCTGTCTGTCTGTCTGTATCTGTCTGTCTATCTATCAGTCTATCTATATTTATCCATCTATCTATCTATATATGTCTGTCTATATATATATATACTGTATATCTGTCTGTCTGTCCATCTGTCTGTCTGTCTGTCTGTTAGCTGCTGTAGTGAAGAACAAAACATGAGTCACTTCCTCAATGACACGCTTGAACCAAAATAGATTGGGTGGGATATCATGACTATTTCTTACACTATGTTTTGTTTTGCTGTTGCAACATTTACCAAAATAAGTTATTTTTAAAATGTTACGGTTATCTTACCATATCGTAACAATAATAATGCCTTTGTTCACATGTTTTTTTTTCTCATCAGGTGCAGCTGCCTCCCTCTGTCTTCGTGGACACGTTGGAAACCAATAATGTTGAAAGGTAAATTAAATATTTGTGTGTATACAGTTAGTTTTCTATGTATTGCTGCCCTCTAGTGGAAATGATTTGTAGTTGTACTGTAAACTGCATCAGTATCAGTACTCTCTCTTTAGAGTTTAGACAACTGCTGTTCTCTGCTTTTACTCGAGGACCCAGATCGTACATGTGGTGACCCACCAGTTGAGAACCACTGATCTACTCCATGCATCACTTTGTTTGACATCATTGTTAATTGTGTCTTTTCATATTGATTATAGAATATTTAAGGAGACGTACCACCTCCCACAGAACGGTCTGTACTGCATCCGAAAATCAGGAACAGGGAGAACAACACAGGTACGGTCAACATGTTATGCATAATACACATAGACTGGCAAATATTGAAGACTGCAGATGCAAACGCCTCTAAGTGCCATCAAGCATTCACAAGTTTGATAAAAAATTATCATTCTACATTTACATTTATTAATTTAGCTGATGCTTTTTTTTATCCAAAGCGACTTACAGTTGCTATGCTATATATATATCAGAGGTCGCACGGCCCTGGAGCAACTAGCCCCTTTCACACAGAGATTCCGGAAAATACATGGATAATGTGACCCACCAATTATCCCGGGATTGTTTGATTTCGGTTCATTCACACTGCCAGTGATTTGCCGGGATCTGTGAGTGCACACACAACCCGTAAAGATCCTGGAAAGACACATGACGTCAGGATGAGACGTGTAACATGTGCGTCGAAAACATGTACACGCGCATACAATGTTACTAGGTCCCCAACCCGGCATCAAGCCCGGGTCGTGTTTGCGTTCACACAGAAGGCGTTCTGGCAATTTCCTGGCAATTTCCCGGGATCAAGGCGCTGTGTGAAAGCTTAGCGGTTAAGTTTCTTTCTCCGGGACACATTGGTGTCTCACACCAAAGGTATGTGTCTTATCCACTGCGCTATCACCATCATTCTAGAAGAAACTTTCAGATAGCACTTAGAGGCGTTTGCATCTGAAGTCTTCATATAAATATATAGTGTCTATTTCTTTTAAAAATAATAAAAGTATATTTTCCTAAAAACAAACAAATCTAAGTTATCTGTGCTTGCACTTTTTCCCTATTTGACACAGGTGCTGGTTGTTTGGGACACGGGTATCAATAAAGCCAGAAATTACAGGCTCTTTGAAGAGGTTGGTATTTTTTCAAGAAGTCTAAATCTACAATACATGTAGACCCACACTATTTGGCATCAGGTTTTTGCCCATAAAACGATAAAGAAGATGAACCCATTAGAGACTACTCAGTAAAATAGAGATCAGTAATTTAACATAAAGCAACCACTCAGTAACCCCTAATTACCACAAAACAACAAGCAAATACCATTTACAATACTTTAGCAACTGCATATAGCAACACCCTGGGACATGACCAATCAGGGCAAAGTAGACCAATCGCAACAGACGGGTCATCTGACCAATTAGAGCAGACTAGACCAATTACAACAGACTGGGTCATCTGACCAATCAGAGCAGAGTAGACCAATCACAACAGACTGGATCATCTGACCAATCAGAGCAGAGTAGACCAATCACAACAGACTGGGTCATCTGACCAATCAGAGCAGAGTAGACCAATCACCACAGACTGGGTCATCTGACCAATCAGAGTAGGGTAGACCAATCACCACAGACTGGGTCATCTGACCAATCAGAGTAGGGTAGACCAATCACAACAGACTGGGTCATCTGACCAATCAGAGTAGGGTAGACCAATCATAACAGACTGGGTCATCTGACCAATCAGAGCAGAGTAGACCAATCACAACAGACTGGATCATCTGACCAATCAGAGCAGAGTAGACCAATCACAACAGACTGGGTCATCTGACCAATCAGAGCAGAGTAGACCAATCACAACAGACTGGGTCATCTGACCAATCAGAGTAGGGTAGACCAATCACCACAGACAGGGTCATCTGACCAATCAGAGTAGGGTAGACCAATCATAACAGACTGGGTCATCTGACCAATCAGAGTAGGGTAGACCAATCATAACAGACTGGGTCATATGACCAATCAGAGTAGAATCACAACAGACTGGGTCATCTGACCAATCAGAGCAGAGTAGACCAACCATAACAGACTGGCTCATCTGACCAATCAGAGTAGGGTAGACCAATCACAACAGACTGGGTCATCTGACCAATCAGAGTAGGGTAGGCCAATCATAACAGACTGGGTCATCTGACCAATCAGAGTAGGGTAGACCAATCATAACAGACTGGGTCATATGACCAATCAGAGTAGGGTAGACCAATCACAACAGACTGGGTCATCTGACCAATCAGAGCAGAGTAGACCAATCACAACAGACTGGGTCATCTGACCAATCAGAGCAGAGTAGACCAATCATAACAGACTGGCTCATCTGACCAATCAGAGCTGATTAGACCAATCAGACTGGATCATCTGACCAATCAGAGAAGAGTAGACCAATCACAGCAGACTAGGTCATCTGGCCAATCAGAGTAGAGTAAACCAATCACAACAGACTGGGTCATCTGGCCAATCAGAGTAGAGTAGACTAATCACAACAGAGTAACAGAGTAAACCATAGCAGACACTGTGAGAAGAGAGATGTCATAAAATCTGCAATCTCCAATCCAAAACAAAATTAGGAACTTCTAAAATAATAATAGTAATAAAACTTTTCTCTGCTGTCCCATCATGGGATGCTAATGCTACTGAATGTTAAGGAAATGCCACTGTCGCACTCTATTTCTGCGTAATTCACCAGAAAATGTCTCTTTAATATTTACAGGAGCAGAAGGTTTACCTGGAGGCAGATCTGACATTCCCCTCTTTATCTGCCCTGATCGAACATTACCACATTCACCCACTGCCCAGCAGCAACAACTCTCTGCCCAACTACTCCCTGTGCTTACATATACCATACGGCTGCATCCCACCCAGGTGACCTCGGCCTCCTGTTCTGTGCTGAAACACCAGTGCCCACTCTGTGTGTGAACATGTGGACCGGCCCACGGCAGACAGCTCCCTCTACTGGTTGGAGTCGCCGTCACACTCTAATGAGGACCTATCGCCATACGGACAATAAATGAGTGCTAATGAACTGTTAATTTAAGTCCAGTGAGTCTACATGGACACAATGTTAGTGCAAGTCTTATGGATTTTCAAGGAACCTCCAGTTTTAGTTTGAGTTGCAGTGAATTAAACAGTATTGAATAGCAAATGTGTACAATAGTGCACATACGCTAGGATAATGCAGCTTATTCTGCCTAAGAATCACTCAGGTAGAAGGTAAGAGTCACCCATCTGACATGTAATGTGATTACAGTAATCACGGATTGCATTGGTTATATGTGGCATTTGGGGGAGGAGTTTTCTGAGATATAGTAAAATATCTATTTAATAGCGATTGACCTTTCAAAGATTTGAAGCCAGTACCCGAGCAAACCTTTGTCAACATGCCCAGATGGATGGATGGATGGATGGATGGATGGATGGATGGATGGATGGATGGATGGATAGATAGATAGATAGATAGATAGATAGATAGATAGATAGATAGATAGATAGATAGATAGATAGATAGATAGATAGATAGATAGATAGATAGATAGATAGATAGATAGATAGATAGATAGATAGATAGATAGATAGATAGATAGATAGATAGATAGATAGATAGATAGATTGATTGATTGAATATTATATTGTACATTATATAAGTCATTTAATAACTGAATGTTATTGTAATTTTGGTACTATAACACTGTACAGATGTAAAGTGAATTATTGAAAATAAAAAAGCACTGGAAAAGGCCTGATGCATTTATGTACACCTAAATTAAATCATAAGAATAGTAATGAAAAAATATTTTTTTTTACTCACATAATAAAATAATTTTACATTTGTTAAGTTTGTATGATTTCAGAAATGACATAACTGGACCCGTGGCAGATCTACCGCTTAAAAATGAAGACAGAATTCAAAATGGCCCCATATTTGCTAATCTATTACATCATTTATGTGAAACCTAACTGAGCAATGCATTAAAGGCTTTATAAAAGCTCATTTTACAAATTACATAATTAATGACCAGGGTATTTCAGTGTCCCAAGCTAATATGTTTCCTTTACTATTTTAAATCTGTTCTTTTTTACTCATTATAGTCTTAGATTTACATTCAGAAAGCAATGTTGGATTCAAACATGATTAAAGCAGATATTTAAAATGCAACAGAGAGACTAAATTAAAGAGAGGCTTCTAAATAAATGATAATAATGGATGATGATTCAAATTTAACTTGATTTTTTTTTTTCTGAGAAAAACTGAGCTGTAAAAGCAGGACGTCCTGCAAAGAGCCTAAATGTGACGCCATGACATTTCTTGAGCATCAAATCATCATATCAGAATGATTTCTGAAGGATCATGTGACACTGAAGACTGCAGTAATGATAGTGAAAATTCAGCTTTGAGCACAGGAATAAATTACATTTTAATATATTCATATAGAAGCCAGTTATTTTAAAATGTAATAATATTTCACAATATTACTGTATTTTTTACTGTTAATTTTACCACAGCTTCCCTGCACCCCTTAGCATGGACAACTTATCATTAAGTTATCACCTCATAAGATAAACAGGATATTAATGGCATATTCTTCAAAGCTTTAATCAGATGTGAGGAGGCGAAGATGTAGCAAGAGAAAATGAGAAGAGGAGACTCAAGCTGTCAGGACTGATGATTAATGAACAGAGTAAATATAGTGCTTGCTCACGGATCTGTCTGGATCCTGCTGACAACATTGATCTCCTCTGAATAAAGGATCAATGTGCATGAAAGCTTCCAGCGTATGTTCAGATCTGCTCCCTCCTGTTCATGTAATCCTGTTTTTAGAAAGGCATCTTTGATCACTACTCTTCTCCTCAGATGTTTGATACACTGCCCCTGATGTCCTTTCAAAGTGACCATATCCAGTCAAATCAAATATACTGTAGGCTAGCTGGATATTCTGTATTTTTTAAGTAGCCTACTTTTGAAGAATTCATAACGATTTGGTGTGGATAAAATTCCAGCTAATCTGTCAAAATTTGTCAAAGGAAAAGAAGGATTATGCAAAAGATAATTGTCAAAAAGACTGCATTAAATAAATATTTTATGAGATTTCCACTCAACGTAATTTATTCTACAGTATATTATTTTCCTTACATTCTCATATAAACACACTCCCCTAAAGGGTCATTAAGAACACCTGTTCAATTTCTCATTAATGCAATTATCTAATCAATCAATCACATGGCAGTTGCTTCAATGCATTTAGGGGTGTGGTCCTGGTCAAGACAATCTCCTGAACTCCAAACTGAATGTCAGAATGGGAAAGAAAGGTGATTTAAGCGATTTTGAGCGTGGCATGGTTGTTGGTGCCAGACGGGCTGGTCTGAGTATTTCGCAATCTGCTCAGTTACTGGGATTTTCACCCACAACCATTTCTAGGGTTTACAAAGAATGGTGTGAAAAGGGAAAAATATCCAGTATGCGGCAGTCCTGTGGGTGAAAACGCCTTGTTGATGCTAGAGGTCAGAAGAGAATGGGCCGACTGAATCAAGCTGATAGAAGAGCAAATTTGACTAAAATAACCACTCGTTACAACCGAGATATGCTGCAAAGCATTTGTGAAGCCACAACACGCACAACCTTCAGGGTACCACTCATCTCCACTTCATAAAGAGGCTACAATTTGCAAGAGCTCAGCAAAATTGTACAGTTGAAGACTGTTGAAAAATGTTGCCTGGTCTGATGAGTCTCGATTTCTGTTGAGACATTCAGATGGTAGAGTCAGAATTTGGCGTAAACTGAATGACTGATTGACATGGATCCATCATCCCTTGTTACCACTGTGCAGGCTGGTGGTGGTGGTGTAATGGTGTGGGGGATGTTTTCTTGGCACACTTTGGGCCCCTTAGTGCCAATTGGGCATCGTTTAAATGCCACGGCCTACCTGAGCATTGTTTCTGACCATGTCCATCCTTTTATGTCCACGATGTACCCATCCTCTGATGGCTACTTCCAGCAGGATAATGCACCATGTCGCAAAGCTTGAATCATTTCAAATTGGGTTCTTGAACATGACAATGACTTCACTGTAATGGCCCCCACAGTCACCAGATCGCAACCCAATTGAGCATCTTGGGGATGTAGTGGAACGGGAGCTTCGTGCCCTGGATGTGCATCCTACAAATCTCCTCCTCCTTCTCTTCACATTAAAAAACTATGGAAAAGTAGCGGAGTGGAAAGGAAAAACGTTTACTGTGTGAACGGTCCTTTAGGACACGTTTACATTTACAACAATGTACTTAAATCAGAAAAGTTTTCCTTTGTGTTTTTTAAGTATGGACAACAACATTGTCAAAAAGATCCCCATTCACATGGATCCGTGAAAACAGTTCAAAACAATGTATTATTCATGCCAGGCCAATAGATGGCGATGTCACTTTGTAAGGAAACACTACACCCCTTATAGACTGAACACGTAATATGCATATGCATGACATCACTGTTTTCTGTAAAAACATAGCCTTTTGAAATGGGTTACCGTTATCGTCTCTAGGCGTATAGTTGACAAAGTGACAAAGTGACATCGCCATCTACTGGCCTGGCACGAATAATACAACGGCTGTGTTTTGAAATCGCCCCGATACAATCATTCACCATTCCCTGCCTACATTACACCAGTAAATTACTGTAGTTCACTTAAAGGTTATGATTAAATTTTTTTATGAGCCTTATTTAAACAATTTAATAATCAAGTAAACAAGAATGTAAACTGCGGTGGAAAATTTTAAACTGAATATTAAGCTAACCATGTTTTAACATTTGACCTCATTTAACCTGCTAAATCAATGTGGATACTAAGACAATGTAGATACTAAGACACTTTGTACTTTAGATGAATGTATGTGTGTCAAACAAAAATGGGAAATGGAACTAGACAGATGACTACGTTAGAATTGTCATCAGTTAAGTAATCATTAAAACAAAGTCTCCTCTACCCAGTAACAGAAGAGACTGTAAATGAAGAACCAATCATATTAATGTCATTTGACATTACAGTACCTCCCTATTGTATAAAAACTGTTGTATCAGTGTTTTCAGGGAGGATTCTCAATGGAATTTGTCTGAGATCCACCGGCCTTGTATTTACTTGGGAAGTTCTCTGAGTATTGCTAATTAAAAGCATTGAAAGGACATTTGCTGGAGTCTGTCTGTTATTTAAGCTGTGCAGCAAGAACAAGTAAGTTAGAATTATTAGCACCAAGCCGACGTCGACTGTAGACGCGTTTAGGGTATAGGGTAGGTTTAGTGCTCAGCCGACGTTGATGTGTTAAAAGTATAAGACTTGGCCGACTAGAGCGAGTATTATTGTAGGGTAGTCATGTTTACAATTCCTGTATGATATTACGCTGTATCCACATTGGACCAGCTGTTTGTAAAATGGATGGATAGATAATTCAGATGTGAGCGCCATCTTCTGGCAAAACGATGGAATTCATCTGGCATGCGTCTCTCACACTGCATTATGGGTATTTTCCAGCCGTTGAATGTTGGCTGTGTTCTCATTATTGTGGTGCATTGTGTGATTGAATGAATGCACTCTAACATCCACTATGGTTTCGGACACCACTACATAGTGCCCTATTTAAGGGTACAGGGGGCAATTTTGGACACAGCCAGTGTGCCTCTATATTTACATTTATAAACATCCATGAATTCTTTTCATTCCGCAAAAGGTTTTAACAGTGAAACGTTTTTTTTAGCTTAATAAAAAAGTTCTTCACACAATGAAAAAAAGTTCTTTAATTAAAAACGGGCCACTGAGGTGCCTTGAAACTTGAAACACGCAGCATTATTTAGTGTGTTGATGTAATATCCACTGAAACAGGAAGGCACAAGTCAGGGCGGGACATATCGAACATCTCCTCCCCATTTTTGATAAAGCCAATAGCATTTAGTTTTATTTTCTGGTCTGCGGTGACTCGATTATATGATCCGCTCTCAGTATCGTGTCTCTGGACCGGAGCTGTGGCAGTTCCCGTGATACTAACCTGAAACCAGACTTCATTTACCTCAATGGAAAGCATATTTACACTGTCTGTATCGTTCCCTATCCTCTATAGTGCA